GTCCAATAAAATTTTGTAAATTTGTGGCACAGTCATTAGGGGGTGGCTTAACTTTTCACCATTTTCTTCGGTATCGTCATTGTTTATTAGTTGTTAGCTTTCGTTGCATTTGTCGTCGGTGGTGGTTTTGGCTAGATTAATTTCCGCCAGGTAAGTTTAGTTTCGTTGGTTGTTTTCTTATTTGTTGCTAGTGGTAGCTTTGCTACGGGTTGTTGTGTTTGGCCAGTTATTAGCGCATGCCATCTAGATTTTCATGACAACATTACCATTATCATTATTATTACTTAGTCGTCGTGAATTGTTCACACTCGGCCTCGAATTCTTCAAGTTGTCAGTCGTATTTTGGTTAGAAGTGTTGATGAGTGGAAGTTTGCTGCCTTTTACCAGTCGTAGGTCTTTTCTTGTTGCTATTTTGCGGCGAATTTTGGTAGACGGTTGTGGTTTGGTAGGGACAGTTGGGTTTCCTGGTTATCACTGATGAGATTTTGGCGCTGTTTTGCAGAATGGACAATTTTCTATAGGAAATATCACAACTTGTGATCTAAACACTCGATGCAATGTAATAGTTCCGATATTCCTTTTTGCAAAGATTCTGAAGGGGGAGAGTCAAAGCTTAGTCTAGAAAGTCACCAAGCTCTCTCAGGCTTTGTGCTTCGATAACGATAAGCGATAGCTTGTGATCTGAACACTCGTTGCGACCAAATTTAGCAATCGTGAGTTGTAATCAACATTAGGAAGAGTTGAAAAATACAAAATAATCAAAATTATATATATTATTTGGGTTACGGAATTACTCAGTGGGTACATGTGTATAATGAATTGTAATTAGGTGTGGGAAGCATCAATAAGAATGCATCATAATGTAGTGATAATCTATGGGCGTGAAAAGGAGTTCATCACAATGTATTGATGAATGATGAGAAATAAGAACGAGACAAAATTATTTAAAAAGAAGTGATATTTGGTGGGTGAAAAAATTATATTTTAGAGAATTAGAACAATTCCTTTAGTTTTATCTATTCTAATTGTTATAATCTTTAACTATATCCATCTTATTAAAAAATCAAGTTCGTTTATTGAATAAAAATAACACAAAATCATCATTACTATTTCTATTATACAAAGTCTACGAATAATCTGATTAATCATTGTTATAATTTCTTATCATCATTATACTCGTATATATTTTCTGGTGAAACTAACGACGACTATAAGAAAAAATTAGAATGATAATAAGAAAAGATATCAATAAGTGAAATATGGAACGTTTCACCTGATACTACAGCTTTCCGGGTTATTCAACAATCTACCGAAAATGAGTCCTGCTGGGTAATTATTAAACGTTGGGCTTTCAAGAATTTGTTTAACGCGATATCACAAGCCTCATCAACCTTATCCAATGCATTCTTATCCTTTTCCAATTGTGTAAGAATGCTATCCTCCGGAGACAGATCTCTAGCTTCTTGATCTTCAGCTTCCTGATCTTCACACTCTTGATTATCTTCCACAAGATCACCTTCTTTGATATCCTGCTTTGTTAGCCGTGTAATAAGAGAAGAAACATTCTGTCGAATACCCTTCTCAAGAAAAGCTTGACAATGATGACATTTTTTGTGCAAGGAATCGACAAAACAACTTTTATGATATCCGTGACCACATGCGATTAATATAACTACATCTAAAGACTTACCGCAATGGTCACATTCATTTATTGCTGGCATACGTTCACTACTAAATCCTAATGGCATTTGCTTCTTGTTTACCACAATATTCAGTCCTGCAAGATAAAATTGATCTTCTCCTTTGGCTGTTTGAATATTTTTACTTTCTCCGAGATTCATATAAATCTTCTCATAGGTTTGAAGCAAAAAGACTTTCATTTTTGTTGTAAGCGATAAAAGACGCTCCTTATTGGAATTGACATCATTACGTTTAGTGATAAAAACTTCTTTAAAAGAATTCATAGTCTTCCTCAAATCAGCTATTTTCGCCTTTTTTGAGAGCTGTTCTGTAGAGTCCAATGGTGACGAATGTCTTCGAATAATACTGTGCATGTTCTCAACTGGATAATCTGAAAACTTAACTAAGTGCTCTATTAGTACATTTAGTATCGGATGATTATTTTCCATCCAATAAAATACATCCGAAAGAAACACTAATGGTGCTTTGTTATAGTTATGTCTATCAAAGCGCAAGAAAACAGTCCATGCTCGAAAAATACCTTCCAAATAAGATTCCCATTCTCCCGACCGAAAAAAAATTGAATAGATATCCATTCCCAATGGGATAGTATTATCAAGCAAATCAACAAGAAACAAGTACTCTAAATCTTTGCAACACTTACCAAATTTATCAACTATGATCGGTTTAATATCTTTCCATGCATTTCTTGCTAAATCCATAAGAAGAAACATGCGATATGGACTTGGATTTCGTGAAAGATTCTTAGAAGTGCTAAACAAATATTTATACTCCATATTAAAGAAACTCCAAAAGTTTTTTAATATAGTACCAATTAAGTTAAGTTGCACATGTAAAGCACCTATTATTGGTATAAAAGACAATACTGTACCCGGAATTTTCGAATTCACCGGATTTCGTAAATGAAGACTGATTGCTTTTCTTGTAAAGATTTGTCCAGGCCAATCTGCTACTACGGGCAGAATATAATCATGCAAATAGAACTTTAACGTATTAATGCTCTGCACTTTTTCCAAAACATTAACATATGCATTCAAGGACTTGAGATCATGTTCATAAAAGTCTAATAATATACAGTCTTTCATTTTACGCTCTTCTTGTCGGGCTTTTATTCGATCATCATATGAATGTTGAGTTAATACTTCTAGCCTAGTATCCAATGAAGTATTATTATAAAAAATCTCATTGGACGTGGTCGCCATACATTTCATATACTTCTTGTCTAGATACTTAGAAATAATTTTAAAATCAATTAATACGGGATTGTGAACTGAAATACCATTTGATCCGTATATTGGAATGGCATCAGTCTCAATTGAATTTAATACCAAAGTCGTCATATGTGATACCAATGATGTTGAACAAGTATCTGGTGTCCGCTTGGCATGAATATTGTGATAATCATCAATGTTGAGTATTATTGCTTTTTTCATATTCCTGCTAAGATAATTGTCGACTAGATTATCATGCAATTCTGCAAGCTCAGTTTTTTTTCGATCCATGTGACGAGCTGTAATTGTAATTCCTGCATTTGCAAATGCGTTAATCGCCTCATAGGATGTTCCCATGGAATTTAAAAAGATTGACATCTCTGTCTTGTATGCGGTTAACTTTGAATTACGATTGCCACAAATAAGATAGCACTCGAGAGCTAAACGTTTATCCAGCTTTTCTAAATATTCTCTGCTCTTTTCGAATGGGTTAGTAGCATTATAAATAGAATCAAAAAAAATACTTAGTCGACAATCCTTGCCTTCCATTTCTTTTCGCAATTCCTGAAAGCTATAAATTGGTGGCAAATTTTGTTTCTTTTCTCTATTATAAAGTAACTTCGTTAATACAACCACACCATCTATCCATGTAAACTTCTCATCTACTAGTAATTCATTATTCAGATTCCAGAGTGATATAGTTTTGTTCCGATTCCAGCACATCAAATAACATTGATATGCTAGAGATCGATCAAGTTCCTGTTTTTCAACTTCACTTTTTCTTTCTATACAAGCTGATTCTTCGATTTCATTAAAAAATGAATTTAATTCCTTATTCTTGTCTTCAATAATTGATCTAAGTTGAGAAAATGAAATAATAGGCGGATTTTTTTCTATTATTTCTCTTTGAAAAATAATATTAGTTAATAAAGCAATGCTTTCAGACATAGAAAAATTATTATCATTTCTATGTCTTTTTAATTCTCTCTTCCATTCTATAGCATGTTCTTTAAAAGTATTTTTTCCATTTACCACAATTGCATTATAACAATTTATACACATATACTCATCTTTATGATTATTGTAATACGAAGCCAGAGTTCCATTGGCTTTTGCCTTATTCAGCACATTTTCAGTTATCTTCTTCCATCTTAATGTTGAAATACCCTCACATATTTTTACTATGCAATATTTACTTGAATTTTGACTTGTTCTTTCTTCCATTCTTTTGAAATTTGTTTCTAAAAGAAAAAACTCAATATTGAGATTATTTTGGATTATTTTTAACAAAGAATAAGTTATTCCAAGAGCTTTTATTTTTTCTTTTTTTTTAAATGAATTTAATTGGTGGATTTCGAATAATTACAAGAATACAAAGTACTTTAAAGTATATAAAAAAATTTTTATTAAATA